CATTACAGTACATGAAAGTTCACTTACCACATACACAGAGTAAGAAGAGATGACTGAGGACGATGGCGAATGATTTGCAGATCCTGAGCACCAATGACAAACATCTAATCTTGTCAAATGTGTGGTAAGTACTGTCGCTCAAACAAAAGCGGTTTCAATAGCGGCTCCTTGATGCCCGCAATTTATGTACAGTCGCCTATACTTGCCCAACGATATAATTGCGAGAAAAAGTATTGAAATATTTATTTTTATCCTCCCATCTCATAGGCTATTTATTCCCTTTAGGGTTTCCGTAGTACACTTCATTTCCTTTCCGAACACGGAACTGGGATGCGGCGGATTGCGGGGGGGGGTAGGCTATTTATTCCCTTTAGGGTTTCCGTAGTACACTTCATTTCCTTTCCGAACACGGAACTGGGATGCGGCGGATTGCAGGAGAGGGGGTGGGGGGGGGAAGAATCACGATGCCAGCTTAACATCGTGATGACTGTCAGCCATCGGCGATGGACGATGGCATCGTCTATCGGCCCAACCCTATAGCCAGCACAACATAAACACAAAATTATTGAGTGAGCTTTAAACAGTTAAGGCTGGAATACACTACACGACTTTTTAAAAACTGACCAGATTTGAAAACACTGGGCATCATACATTTACCGAATTTGTAAACAGTCACAAAGGAAAAACTGGCCATCATACACTAAATGACTGAGGATCACACACTACCAGACTTTAAAGTTGTTCCGATCACAACAAACTCAGGCTATGTTTACACTAGTGCATTTTCGTTTTAAAATGCATAACTTTTGCTACGGTTACACCTGTCGTTTACACTACTCCAGCATTTTCGACCTTCGAAAACGGAGACTTTCGAAAACGCTGCAGACTAGGGCTGGGTTTTCACACAAATTTCACGATTCGATTCTCATTCACAAGCTTGCGATTCTATTCGATTCTCATTCACAAGCTTGCGATTCGATTCGATTATCGATTCGATTTGATTCAATATCGATTATTTTGGATATATATCAGGTACAGTACATGCCAAACTTGCTAAAGGAAAAAAAATCTCTCAACTAATGCTGTAAAATATACATGAGGGTCAGTTGGTACTACATTACTATAATATTGAAGGTTAAAATTGACTGATTTGTTAAAATTACACTTAATTAAGTTTTTTTAAATAATAAATGTAACAATTACATAATAATATTTCTACTTCAATTCGTTTTTTTTATATAAACAATGGTGGCTGTCATAAAAACTTGGATTTATTCAAACATAAATGAAACATAGAAGAACAGTAAAAATTATAATGAATATGTTATATGGCATATATTTAGCAAAATGACCCTCTCTACAGTTTATTTTTCGAACTAATGAGTTTATGGTCACTGAATATGTTTTTCTGAGGTAAATGTGACGTTACATGGCATTGTTTACAAGACGTTATATTGACGTCTTTGCGTGGAGGAAACACTGATTGAGCGATTACATGAGACAGGATACGGATTGTAAAGTTGTACTCTTTCTTTTAACTTACCTTCGGATGTTTAGTCATGTTTCTTTTGTGCTGAAACTGGTATTAATGTGGAGGAGATGATCAGTTCACGTGCGCCTCGCGCTGCCGCGTCTGTTGAACTGAGGCACTACAGCGATCACTCCACATTAAACAGCACCAAAACGGCATTTATTGTTTGAATACTGCAATACAATGGACAGAATTTGAAATCTGAGACTTTGTTTCATATTAAAAGTACCAAAGCAC